TACCGAACCCGTAAAAATCCAGTGGGCTGGCGTCGGGAGACTTCACTGGAATGTCCGAGTTCCTGATAAAATTTAGGCCTAGGGTGTCCTTCATTTCTTGTAGGAACTGTTGGGTTTTGTTGGAGGTATGGGAAGAGGCTTTGTCGTGATGAAGGAACACTTTGTCCATTTCCCCTGGGTAAAGGTCCTTCAGTTGTTCGATGACAGGTTTCAGAACGCATTCTATATAGAATTCTGAGTTCACCTTCACCTTCGATGGAACCTTTATGAGCGGAAGGACTCCACGGCCAGTCATTACCCCGACAACCATGAAACCTTTAAGGAAAGTTTCGGAGCATTGGTGAACCCAATTATCCGGGACCTGATTGCCTCTTTTGATGTAACAGATCTTCCGGATTCCATTGCAATACGTCACATACATCCATGCTTCGTCCAATGTTGCAGTATATTCCGATCTGGAACCGGCCAGGTGTTCCTCGTAGAGCTTCCGGGCATTCGTTGCACGGTTTTTCATGTGGAAAGGGGTGAGCTTGTGAACCTTGCCTTTTCGTCGGGTATCCAGTTCCAAATCTTTGTGAATGATGTTATTTATCGTTTTTAGCGATGTTCCACACATTCTGGAAAGTTGGCGCAGAGATGGTGGATTTTCAGTAGTTGCTAGCCGCTTTACATTGGAAACCGTGGCGGGGGTCCGCACCGGACGTGGTCGATCGACTTGAAATTTTTGCCCATTGGATTCAGCTTCCCTTTTCTTTCCGATGCCATTTACTACCCTACATATTGTAGCTTTGCCAACATCTAGTCCTTCTGCTTTTAGCTTTTTCACTATGACGCTATAACTGTTTCCTTCTTTGGAAAGCCGCACAAGAGGAGTGGTCGAATGTTTCGCTCTCCAAAGTCAAGGAAGTGTTCGAAGCTTGGAAAGTCCGATGCAGGGAGATAGCCAAGAAGAAGGGGAAGCACATAGAACACATGAAAAAAATTCACGTTCGAAAAATAAAGTTCTAACGGACGTTTGAAATCGTTTCATTTGAAAGGAAACACCCTCCGTATTTTTTGATATGTAAAGTAGCTTATGATTTAACGTCCGAAAACCTCAAATTCTGCTAACAGTTTCAACTCCTTTAGTCCTCACTACTTTTGCTATGGCATTGCTAACCCTTTAACAACATCATACAGGAATATATATGTGATGAGGTATCTTGTCGACTCTCGCTATAGCTGTGATAACCGAAGGTCAAATCAGTAGTAACCGAGAGGGACAGTCAGGGCGTGGAGAGTTTTCCAGTACCTCTCTGCACCTTGGAGGACCTTTAACAGTTCTCACAGAGTACAGGCAGTCGTGGTCGAGGCAAAGTGGAAAGCTTTGGAATGTCCACACACAAAAAAACGAAGAGACATAGTAGTAGTAGGAAAGTTCCGTGAACAGATAAAAGTCGAGCTAAGAACAAGATGGAGATAAAAGAGTTCTTACTGTTCTACATGATCGATGAGGTGGACCTGGGTACAACCGACGTGGGCTCACGCTGATGGTGAAGTGACTATTTTTTCGGCTAGGGCAGAGGCCTTATATATATTTGCCGAGTGAGGAGGCATGCGGGAATTTGGACTTTGAGCGGGTGCAAAGGGCTTGGGGCGTCTGCTCTATTCTACACCCAATGACCTTGATGGAACGACCTGCCAAATTCCTCTTTAGGGTTGTGGGATTTCTATCTCGATCTTAGACATCTTTGAACTTCTTCTCAATATTGCTTTAACTCAGCTCTTAATCTATTACATAGTTTTATTTATTCATCCTCGGTTTGTACAAAGTACATTACATATGGTGATGCAATGGCATATGTCAATCATGCGTATAATTATTTATAGATGTGTTTCTATTATACAACATGACAATATTGTTATAAGTATTATACAATATGGGTTTGTTGGTTTAAATTACCATATATATATATAAAGAGACAAGGGTCTCCTCTCCCGTCAAAATAGACGTCTAAAACCAGACGTCATCTATTGACCGTCGCCGCAACTAGCGGCCTCGGGTCGGTGACAAAGCCACAACACCATCTTTGGCAAACTGAAAAGCGTCCACCTAGAGAACATAGTTTCGGGCTAATAGCCTTCGTCAGTCTAGGGCGGACTTTATTCCATGAGATCCACACTGGATCTAATGAAATATTTACAATCTGCCAAAGAGGTTTTTAGCTGGCAAAGTGGCTGGGCCATATCTATGGCTAAAATAGATGGAATTTTTTTCTCTAAATGGACGCTTTTCAGTCTGCCAAAGCTGGTGTTGTGGCTTTTTCACCGACCCGAGGCCGCTAGTTGCGGCGACGGTCAATAGATGGCGTCCGGTTTTAGACGTCTATTTCGACGGGAGAGGCGACCCTTGTCTCTTTAGATCAATTTCCTCCCGGCAAAATTTTCATCTATATATATATCTTTTTTATTTTATATATTACATGCTCATGAAGTTTAATTCAAAATCTATAACTCTTCTTTTACTGTCACCAGATTTTTTTAAAAAATAAAAACCCCTTCTCTCTATTAAAAAATATAACATAATAATTACAGATAAATCAATATTTTCATAGAAAAGGCACAAACGTATCAAATATCTAATTCGTTTTATTTTATATTATTTTAGTTTCTTTATAATAAAAGGTTTAAAAAATGGATCTTTAAAATCTAGCAAATATATATATTTTAAATATAATATAAATAGATAAAATAACGTGTATTGCAATAATTTAAAATAGAAGATTCACAAAATATTCAGTTTTTCTGAAGTTTGAAATTTTAATTCTTTGATAACATTCAAATAAGGTCTTTAAATATTTTTTTGTTTAATTTGTAAAACATTGTTCAATTCTCATATTGACTTTAAAGAAAAAAATGTTTGGAGACAATAACTCTCATCGCATTTTTAATACCCTTTTCCAAAAGGTTTTTTTGAATTCAAAAATAAATATTTAAAAATATAATTTAACTTAAACAGCGTTTTATAGCTGTTCAACACTTTTACTAAAAGAAATATAATTATTTAATTCAACAGACTATTCTTTAACTTTGTATTTAATATTTTGATTTTTTTATCTAATTAATATTCTACACTTAAAAAGAGCTTTATTTTAACTCGCTCCCATGTCTGTCTGTCCACAAATATTGTATTCAAATTTTAATATACTTCCAGAGAACATAGAATTCTGAAATTTTGTACACTTATTAGAACCTGATGACAATGCAAGTCGACATATTTTTAGACTTGGGGGTTGTCAGAATGTCCAGGAACGGACAAATTTCAAAATTGATTCTCAAATATTAAAATTTAACTTTATTAGGCTTTTTAGACCACTTAAAAGTAAGAAACATTTAACACGGGATTGGGATTATTCCAATGACAATGCAAGTGTACACATTTTCTGACTTCTGGGTGGTCGGAGTGGCCGGGAATCAGCCGATTTCTATATTTCTTTTTAAATCTTTTGTGTTGCAAGAAGTCAACTCGGAAACTGTTGGGAGTTGTGAATTGAATTTTTCAGAGATTGTTTAAAACCTCAAACAAGTTAGAAATCAGAATTTTCAGGTTCCTATCTAAACCTTTGAATTACAAGCAAAAAACTACCAAAAGTCAATTAATATATTCATTTATCTGTTATAATTCAGTAATCTGATTCCAATATCATCACGTATATATACACCTGAATATTTATATTCATTATGTTAAATATATTCATATATTTTGAAAATAGAGCAATCCATAAATAAATCTTTAATTCAAAACCCTGATAAAGGTTGGCGCTCAGCCAACTGAAATATTGGTAAAATAAATGATATTTTGATCCAATATATGCCTTTTCAATTAAATATTCATATATATGTGATAATATATGACCACATACATTTCACGAAAATGTTGTAAATAGTTCCTTTTTCTCAATCAATATTTTGTTCCTTTAAATAATTAATCAATTGATTAATTATACTTCTAGTTTATATGCAGTAATTATCCCTCATAATTAATGCATTATATGTATGTAAGTGTATAATCTCTCTATATAAGTTTCAACGTATGTATGTATATATCTTTATCGGCTATACGCGTCCTTTAATATTAACAGTATATAGAGTTGAATTTGGAAAAACTTAGAGTAATATTTTCTAGTCTCTATCTAGAATATCCTTGGATTTATTTAAATAAAATTTTTAAACAAATTTGTCAGATTCGCTCTCAACCAGCGCCCCACTGCGGTGGAGATAGGTTTCGGTTTTGGTAGGAAGCCTCCTGTATGCAGTCTTTCAGGACGAAAATATTAAGTAATATATCCTATTGGCCGGGTTTTACCCGAGCGCATTTTCCTCCGAGTGCGTATGTATAAAAATGTTTTTTCATTAAAATACTATTCGTTACAATATAAATTATGATCTGGCTTGAGCTGGGATCTCCTCAAGTGAATGCTCGCCCTACAAATAATGCTTGAAATAAAACACATTATTATATATAAAACAAACAGAAAATTGATGTCAGGTATTCTATAATATAGTGATACAATTCAGAATTTGACAACAAAATCAGAAAATAGAATAACACTAAAATAACACTGTGTAACAGGATTTTTGTTCCACAGTTCTTACAATGTTTTTATGGTGTATTAGAACACACACAATTGAAAAATAGCAATTATACATTTAAACTTCGGTTTTGAGTCTAGGAAATCTATTTATTTGGAAAAATGCAAGTAGGATACAAGAAAGATATGATAATGATGACATTTTATTAAAAAAAAAACTAAATTAACATACTTCCCATCGATCTAGGCTATGAAACTTTGCATACTTTCATTTGTCATTAGGATTAGGTGATTGTGCAAATGTCTTGAAAATTGTCTTCATCCTCTGATTTACTGCTCTGTAATGTTGTAGATGGGTGTTTCTTTTGCAGATTAGGTATTGGGTACTCAGGGTACAATTGGATAGTGAGCTACCTAGACCGAAGAAATAGCCTACAGCAACCGGTGTTCCCAGGTGGTCACCCTCCCAAGTACTGATTGGGCCCGACACTGCTTAACATCGGTGTTTCCAATGGGGTATGGCCGTAGGCTGTACTCAGGACAGAGAGGAACAGGAACAATGGATTAAGGAATATCTGGATAAATGATGGTAGAGCATCCTGCCCCTTTGCTGTTTAAAAGTGTCCACCATGCTAAAGTAGTAGTTATTTAAGTGATCAGTGGGTTCTCGCCAAATTCTTGGAATATCAAACCTCATTACTCTCTTTTCACCTCTGTACCATGCTTCCAGTGTTTTATTTCAAAGGCTACAACTGTATTAAAGTACCCAAGGTAATCATATATTGAGTAAAGATATGTAAATATATTACTAAACATTAAAAACTTGCCTCATTTTGAATCAAATTAAGTTTAAAATTCATGATGATCGTCCACTACGGCTTTTATTTTACTCATATAAATCTAATTGTTCAATGGAAGGAGAAAAAATATTTATTTTTCATTTTAGTGCAATTCAATAAAATACTTTTTCAAAGGTATTTTTTCAATTAATTGTTTTCTTTTTCTTTTCATATACATCTATTACATGTGAGCATTTTTATCTAAAATATTCTTGAAAGGAATGTACAAAGGGATTGATGAATGTGTGAGGGGTTCTTTCTTAATAAACTATACAAATATCTGTTTACAATTCCAATAACACAGGGAAATAGAATTTATATATTTTCAGATATATGATTATTCTTGAACAGGTTTTATTATACAAAACTGCCAACCGTTTTGCTATACCACGTCAGAATATAAAATTACATAAATTGAATGTATAAAATAAATTTAATTTGCTTTTTCTCATATTAGAACTCGAGTATGTATGGATATTGGTAGGCACGATTTAAGTCAAATAATTAGGTTTTAAAACTCTCTATTCAGACATTACTATTAAGTACATAGCATTATTTAGATATTAGTATTCAGTAAATAGTAGTATTTATATATGAAAATATCAATGACTATATATACATAGTAAAGCCAGAGTTACATGAAGTAAAGTTTAGCAAGTATTGTTGAATATAGAGACATAGAGAGGGTATATATTTACAGCATTTATATATATATATATTATACATTTTTACTTTACATTTAGACGATGATAAAATGTGCGTATTATTCGTTGTTTCATTATCAAAAACGAATTTCCTTCGATCAAAAACAAAACGTGAATCAGTAATTTCGCAGCTATATTTCAATTTTACATAAAAACGTGCTAACGACGGTCAATCGAAATAGCGGTGTTCTATTGTTGGTGGTCCACGTCAGATGATTAGAACACATATGTAAATAGCATGTTCAACAGTCTCTATACACGTTTGGAATATCAAACTATCCAAAGATAGCTGTAATCTCTAGTGTAATTATGTTAAAACCTTTATTCAAATTGATGTAGGGAAATTCTCTCCATTTAGGTATTAAATATTAACCTCACGCGCGTAAAAGCTCCTAGCTAGAAATAATGGCTGACTATTTACAGCTTTGCATATACACCGATTCTCTGGCTTTCTACCCTAGAAGTTCACTGGTACAACAGTTCATTTATTTATTCCCCACTTCTTTTATTATATGTTTCCTTATTTATGATTCTTCCTATTGAAGTAGCATTCAATAGTGTCGTCTTATTTATTATTATATTTATTGTGAAGCTGATATATATATACGCCTAATTTTGATTATCCAAGTGTTTATGGTGTTACATCAGGTTGTATCGTGCCGCGTTTTCCACCATTAGGTGTCCCAAAATGTCATCTCTGGTCAGATGGAAGGCTGGTACATCCACCAGCCTGTCACTGTCACCATCTGACCAGAGATGACATTCTGAGACACCTAACGGTGGGAAAACATGGCAAGATACAACCTGATGTAACACCATAAACACTTGGATAATCAAAATTAGACGCATATAAATATATATAAAATAAAAGGACCTAAAAGTGCGAATGTTTCTTTTATACATAAAACGAACTTCTACTGTCCTTACTGCGATGAAAAATATATTGGGAGGGCTTGGCTCATCAGTGGTGAACCCTCCCAGCGGTTTCGCCAATTTAATCCACCAGACCGCTTCTCAGAGCTCTAATACTGTATTGGATCATTCTGCTTTTATATGCTACACTGAAGTATGGAATCTTAGAAATGGTTTTCAAGTAAAATATGGACATAAGCTTATAGGACAGTAGAATTACATTCAAATATTTGCTTCGAGCAATGCTCTTCAGCAAACTATAAAGACAAGGCCATTAGGAATAAATTAACACAAAGCAATAACGCGCCATCTATACATATAAAATAAAAGGACCTAAAAGTGCGAATGTTTCTTTTATACAGTAAGGACAGTAGAAGTTCGTTTTATGTATAAAAGAAACATTCGCACTTTTAGGTCCTTTTATTTTATATGTATAGATGGCGCGTTATTGCTTTGTGATATTATAAATATATATATATCAGCTTCACAATAAATATAATAATGAATAAGACGACATCAGCTCATGTTTATAATTTCACTCTAAATAGATGATAATTATCAATAATATAAATACAAACACTATAAAATGCTATATTTATTTTTTATAACAACAACAAAAGCCTTTATTAAGACACTATTGTCGTAAAATGTTATATTGATTTCCTTAATATTCATTCTACCAATATTTCGGGTGGTCGATAGTCAAACCTTTGTCAAGTTGTATTTATCTACTTATTGCAAATACCTATTTATTTTTTCTTGTTAAAATTGATATTTTAAATTATAGTGTTATTAATAAAATAACTTTAAAAATACCAATAGACTATTTAGAAAGATATTGATATGAATGCTCTTTCTCTTCACTTATGTGAGCGAAATTTTAATAATAAAAAAAAACGAAAATAAAAAATATATATTTTGATTGATTAAACTGAAAAAGGAGGTTCGAAACGGCTGAGGCACTCACTTATTTATATAGTTTATTTCATCAAACTGAATGTTTAGAGCAGACTTCTGTTGATAAAAATATAATTTTATTTAGGTGGAAGTTTAAAATCTAATAAATATTAACTATTCTATCTGCTGGTAAATACGAGAGACTCTCTCATTCTTTTCTTTCATTCTCTCAGGAAACAAATGACTATTTTATCTGTTCATGTTTAAATAACACGTTAAATTTGTAGATTTCATTATGAAAAGTTATTTTTTTTAATCCTTTAACACAAAATATAGTTATAAATATATTATCTCAATATATAATTGTGTTAACCCGTTCGTCTGAAGTGATAAATGATGATATTAATGATGATAATGATATTTTTTATCAGGATAAAAATAAGTCGTATAATATCGTACTAGGTATGTTCGTAGAACGGACATTCCTCGTCTATACCTATTAGATCTAAAATCCAATCCGGTTGGTTGTTTATGTGGAGCAACTTTTCTATCTCATATTACATAGTGATTATAATGCGCTAAATTAAATTATAGTTCAAAATTTATTAAGCCTACTTTGAAAATGTTATTTTTCTGTGTTTTTATTCTAAAAGATACACTCTGGTAAAACAATAAAATATTTAAAATAATGAAAGCATATCCTGACCAGGAGCACATGTGCATTTTAGATGGCATGAGGACCTAACCCTTTTATTATTTATTTATTCTATTGTTTTTTTATACAATAATATATGTGTGTGCACTCTGAGAAAACCCGTGGTTTGCCGTCTGCCTTCGTCTAGTAAATAATGATCACGAATATTGAAGTTAAAAACGCATTATCGAAGTGACAATAGCCTAAGGTTTAAGGAACATCAATGGCTGTTAAGATATCCTGGGCCAAGAGCTGTTTCTATGGTCCGTATTTGTGGGCGCCTAGGAAACAGGCGCGGTATCGGTTTATTATTATTTGTTCATCAATAAAACAAAGCTCTACAAAGCTCGACTATATATTTACTGTCTCTGGTACAATTGATTTTGCTGCAGTTTATTCTTCCCTCTTTAACTGCTATTTTTCATCTGTATACTTGCTTCTTGTAGGTTCTGATAGCTATATACAGTAGAGTTATTCTCAATGGAATACTATAATTTCCATAATTTATATACATGGATAAACACCGTCTCTCCTGGACGTAATCTCTCTTCGGAGAATCTGTCATGTCAGATTGAGTTATAAAGTATTATTTAGCCCAAAAAGGTAAAGACGGGGGTTTAAAAGTGATTTTAGGCGAGATCTCATGGAAGTATTACTGTAATCACATATTGATTTTTTTCTAAATATCATTATATATTTAGGGATATTAATAAATAGTATAAATGTGATATTGTTTTGAAAATAGAGCAATCCATATTTAATTCATTAGATTAAAAAGGCATATATTGGATTTAATAAAATATTTATTTTGCCAATATTTCGGTTGGCTAAACACTAAACCTTCATAAAGGCATTACATTTTTTTATACAAAAATGCTGGCAAAATAAATATTTTATTAAATCCAATATATACCTTTTTTATCAAATGTGATATTGTACTGGAATAAGGTGCATATATTCATGGAAAAAAAGGCATCTCCTCATCGAGGATATATAAAAAATAAATAAATAAATTATAGATGATAATAATCACAAAGAGATTTCATAATATAATATATAAATCTATATCTATTATGTACAAATTTTATGCCTACCCTTTGACTAATTTAAAATTTAAATATGAAGCGTTTAGTTGCGTAATATATTCAAATATATATAGAGAGAGGTTTTTTTCACCATTTCCCATGATGCCATCCCTCTAAAAAAATAATTTTTCATTTTTAAATTTCTGTAAAATATATATCAATATCATTCCAATCTAGCCTATGCCCCGTATACAACATGCAATATATACGGTACATAGGCCACTAGACTTATTTACTCAAACAAACGCATGAATCTCTAAATAGATTATATCTACATGATTGAGGGGAAGAGATACGAAATAAGGTGAAGATGGATAAGCTGTATTAAAAACAATGCTTTGTAGTGTCAGAGTTTTATATAGTCTTTCATCATCAGATTTTACAAAACAGTGCGT